TGCATTGTAAGGAGCTTCCTTGTCTTGAGGTCAGTGGCCTCTATTTCCTCCTTTGGACAGCTTATTATGCCAACGGGGTACCTGATGACCGGCAGGGCGTAGGTGTTAATTGCCCGGACTTTGTTCTTTCCATTCAGCTGACTTCTCAGGACTTGCCTTACTCTCTGCAGGTACTTGGTGGTTGCTGCTTTCCTTGCAGCCTCTTCATGGTTCCCATTTGCTTGCGGGATCCCAAGGTACTTGTAGCTGCCCTCAACATCTGCTATGTTGCCTTCTGGTAGTACAATCCCCTCAGTTCTGACTACCTTCCCTCTCCTTGTTACCATTCGACCACACTTATCCAGTCCGAATGACATTCCGATGTCCTGGCTCTAGATCCTAATGGTGTGGATCAGTGAGTCGATGTCTTGTTCACTCCTGGCATACAGCTTGATGTTATCCATGTAGAGGAGGTGGCTGATGGTTGCTCCATTTCGTAGTTGGTATCCGTAATTGCGTTTGGTGATGATCTGGCTGAGGGGGTTCAGGCCTATGCAGAACAGCAGTGGGGACAGAGCATCTCCTTGGTAGATATCGCACTTGATGTTGACTTGTGCAGTTGGCTTGAAGTTGGCCTCTAGGGTTGTTTTCCACATTCCCAGTGAGTTCTTGATAAAGGCTCTTAGAGTCCTGTTGATGTTGTACAGTTCCAAGCATTCCAGGATCCATGTGTGAGGCATTGAGTCATAGGCTTTCTTGTAGGCTGTGCACAGGTTGGTATGCCTGGTCTTGCAGTCTTGAGTGACTACTCTATCAACCAGTAGCTGGTGCTTTGCTCCTCTGGTGTTACTACCAATTCCTTTCTGGGCACTGCTCATGTATTGAGCTGTATTGATCTTAGCTGCTATGATGCCTGACAGGAGCTTCCATGTTATACAGAGGCAGGCTATTGGGTGGTAGTTGGATGGAACTTCTCCCTTCTGAGGGTCCTTCAGGATCAGGACTGTCCGGCCTTCAGTTAACCACTCAGGGTGGGTTCTATCGATTAGTAGCTGGTTCATTTGTCCCGCCAGGTGCTCATGGAGTGAAGCTTCTTTAACCAGTAGGTGTGGATCATGTCAGGGCCTGGTGCTGTCTAGTTCTTCATACTTGAGACCCTCTTGTGAATGTCTGCCATTGTGATGATTACTGGGTCTTGTGCAGGGAGGTTGTTGTGTTGTCCACCAGCCACTGGGCATTGTTGTTATGTGATGCCTCCTTCTCCCATATGCTCTTCCAGAACTGTTCAGTCTCCAGCCTTGGTGGGTCTGCTCTCATGTTATTACCTTGCTACTGAGAATACACCTTGGATGGCTCAGTGCAGAACATTTGGTTTATTAACTTCCCTGGTGTACCTCTTCAGTTGGGTGGCCAGGGCTGTTAGCCTTTGCTTGGCAGTCTCTAAGGCCTCAGGTATGGACAGTGAGTTGTACTTCTTAGGTACCCTTTGTTCATCATGCCTTTCTGCAATTCTAATAGCTGGCTAACTTCTCTCCTTGCTGCATTGATCTTGGTCTCCAACCTCCTTCTCCATGGAGGACACTGCTCCTTATGGCCTTTGTTGAACTTATAGCCAAGCATCTCAAGGATCACAGTTGCTGTGGTGTATATCAGCTTGTTGGTCTCAGTGATGGTCGTAGTAGGGATTGTTCTTAGTGCTGCATTCACATCCTCTAGAAGACTTTCAGAAGGCACTTCACTTGTTAACTGACTACGGGAGTTCCAGGTGTCCATCTTGCTCATGATCTTCAATCTCAGGTCAGCTGTTCTTGAATCAAGCTCATACGGGCCTGTTATTGGGGCTTGGTACCCAATCTCCAGTTGTGGGGGTGATGATGATGTTTTCCCCCTGAGCCTGACCTGTCGTCCTGGCTCCCCCTTGCTGGAGCATTCTCTAGTTGTGATTAGCAGGTGTTTCTTGCGGATGTGAGAAGTAGCACTGAGCTACTAGTTGTTTCGATGTTAGTGTAGATGTTGGGTTTCAAAGTATCCATAGGTCCCACATCCTCTGTATGTAACCCCTCTCGCTGGGGTTAATTGTATAGTAGCATTCCAATAGTTCCCTGTTCTCCTCTCTTGTCCATGAATGTCTTGTTCCAGTAGCCCACTTCTCATCAGGTTGCCCTGGTTCCTTAACACCTGATGCGGACCTTGTTGACCTGGGCGACGTCAGTGGTGTTGCTCACTGAGCTATCCCGTCTGCTCATATCTATCTGTCTATCTATCTATCAATATGTGTGTATATATATGTACTGTATGTATATATGTATGTGTATATATACTAATGCTCTAGCTCTAATGGAGTGATGCGAAAATTTGAAGTTTTTTGATCATTAATCCTGAAAAAGAGATCCACATTTCACTGAGACTTAAAATGTCTGTGCTAAAAGGAAACAGAGTAGATAATGCCTCACTTTTAATCTTTCCTCTTTCTGAGTCCTGCCCTCTCCTTCTATTTTTTACTGGTATGAGCAGCAGTAGTATCTACTTTCTTTGTGTACTTGTAAAGAGTTCACCTCATTCTTACCACTGGCCCTCTGCTGTATTCACTTTTCACTTTATTCCTTCTCTTCACCTCTCATTTTGTTTTATGTATCTTACTCTTCACCAAAATACTAGCTAGATAGTGATACCGTGTGAAAAAGTAATGTCAAATTTATGGTCTTTCCTCCTCTTGATCTGTCCATTCAGAGCGTCAGCTGACCAACAGTATGACCACCAGCAACTCTCTTCCTCCCAGTGTCAGTGGGATCAGTAAGGAACTGGCAGAGTTACGACACCTCGTCCAGTTCCCCGAGGAGATCGCCTGTATCCTCACTGAGCAAGAGCAGCAACTCTACCAGCGGGTAGGAGGAATAACACACAATGCATAATATACTCTATATCTGGGTCAAAAAACTATATTATGTTTACCTGCTGGGTGTCTGTTTGCAGGTCTTTCCCTTGGACTACCTCTGTTTCCTCACTCGAGACATGGGCAGTCCTGAGTGTCAAACTAAACGGCATCCAAACCTCAAGGCCTCGCTGTCAGCGCCCAGCATGCCTACCCAGAGTGCTCAGCGAAGTAATGCTGTGGAGGACCTGGTGGCGCGGTTCAATGAGGTGAGGGGTCTGCTCATATAAAATGTTTGTGTGCTGTTAGTCTATTTATTTTGGCTGTGCTCAAGGAATAACATGTTTAGAATGAAAAATGCAGACAAAACCTCAAGTCTTGATGTTAATTTAGATATAAAGATCTTCTTACTACTGTAAGTCTGCAACTGAAGATTATTGTTGTTGATTAATCTTCATCCCAAACATCCACATTTATCCCATATTTTTGCATGACTTTTGAAGTCAGTAGGCCTATTTCAGCTTAAAGGCTATGATTCATCATAGTAACTTCACACAGTCGGTTTATATCAAGGTTTTACTACTTGATTTAAATCTGAATGAAGTCACTGAAGGACGGGTGATAATCTGAAAACTGTGGAATAGTTTTGCGACGTGACTAGTGAAGTCTTTTTAAACACAGCCTTATAGAGGTCATATTAAAAGAAAGCATGTCCAAACTGTTTAGAAATATTGACTAAAAAAACAATGCTTGTACCGTTTGGATGACTGTAACGTGATCTTTAGTGACCTCCCCTAATGACATTATCAGAGACATTGAAAATGCACGTGCTGCGATTTGACATTAATGTAAAAGGTTGAAAAACATGGCAGACCAGTAATTGTGTTTTCCTTCATCTGGATTTACCCTGCTGTGTTTGCTGTGAGAGTCGTACCAATTTATCAACTCATGACCCAAGTACACATTGTGTGTACACAAGTACACGCTCTCAGAGTGGAGTAAGTTGGCTAACGTTACTCTCCTGGGCCTTGTGTCTTTTATGGCGAGTGACTTTGAGAATAAACAATCACAACACTGGATTGCTTTTTTTTTAAGAGTGTGATTGGGGGTGATGATGTCATCTTTAGGTTGCATGCTTTTTTGCATCAGCTGGTTTTCATTTAAGTCAGTGAGAGGAGACACATGGAAAATAGTTTCTCAAATGTGCCTTGTAGCCATATATGGGCACAGTGGAACAAGAGTCAGATGACAACAGTGGGTCTCCCCTGAAGACACTGATGAAGCCCTGAAGTGGCTGCAAATCATGACAGTCAGATGGAGATGAGATGCGTAGGAGCATCCTTTCTTTGGTCTGACTGCTCTATGGTTGGCAAAAGTTTTAGCTGGATTTTATGCAGTGATATTGTCAAATATTTACATTAGAAATGTGTTAAAGGATCTTGCATTTTTAAATTAATTTTCTTTTTTTTTCACCAGACATTTGTCACATTATAGGGAACTGGTTTCTGCTTTTATCTGTTAACAACTTTAACAAACTATTATTGGCACTGATATGATTTAAGCTGTAATGCTTATGCCATACGTTGATGGAAAACAATCACTGGCAGCTATATTGATCAAATGGGAATATTTTCAGTTTGTCTGACATATTAGTAAAGTGAATTTTTGGACTGTTGATCAAACAAAACAAGACATTTTCAAGTATCCCCGTAGTGATTGATTTATCACATTACTTGCCTCTTGCTGATCTCATACAGACCAAACATTTACAATATTTGCTAAATTAATTTGCGAAGAAAATAACTTGGTTGCAGCCCAAGTTACGATAACTATGGAATTCTTTATTGGAGTTTGCTCTCAGACATTTTTAAGGTAATAAGGTAGCTGTGGAAATGCATATCCAAGAATGACAATAAACTGGACTGGATCCACTGTTTTAAGATATTAACTTATTAGCATTAGGGTCTAATTTCTTTCCTAACACTTGACAGACAACAGTCTGGAAACTCATCTCAAAAGTATCTACTAGTTTTGACCCTGTTCATTTTTAAGAACCATGTATGGATGTGAAAGATTATGCATCAGAAGCCTCCTACTTTCTTACAGTGCAGACACTTTTCTGCTTTGCTCTCTCCTTGGCTTACATTCTTTGCTGAGATCCTTGTTTTTTCAGTAAAAGAATTTATGGACGGTGAGTATTGCATACTTGTAAATCATTGGGATCTTATTTTTAATAGAGACCGAAGACTACAACCATATTTATTACCATTTTTATTACTAAAGGGTACGAGGCAAGTGTGGCCTACTAACAGCACAAGGCCTTTTTTCCTGTGCTGCTATACTGAACTACAGTGACTGGGATTAGTTGAAGCTAGTTATCAGCAAGATGCCCCCTTTCTCTTTGGAAGACTTCCACAAACTTCTCCAGAAGATTGCAGTTCTTGAAACTAAGATTTATTGATTAGAAATTAACATGGAATTAAGTGGACTGAATGGGAATGACACCACCTTACTGTGGACTCCAAACAGTGGACAAGAGGAAGCCAACTCGCAGCTAATTGGCACCAACAATGCTACTAAGAAACAGGAGGGTTCTCTGCCTCATAATAAATCTGAAAGTAGTAGTCCTCCCTGGAGCTCTCTTGGCACTAAGCCGAAAAATAAATCACATCCCTGGGAAATAGGAGGAAAAGCAATGACCGGAGGCCAGCGGCCAGAGATTTGCGCTGCTACTGGCTGGCCTGCATCACCTTCCAAGCAGAGAGCCTCATCAGTCCCGTGCATAGTAGCACATAGCAGTGTACAGCTGCAAGAGGGAGAGTTCGCATAGAACCTACTTAACATACAACTCTGTAACAGCTTTACACTGCTGCTGAAGGACCCTGGATCTCCATCAAATGACATGGATAACTTCCCATCCTCACAAAGCAGGGTAAGGAGTGAGAGTAATTCGGAAAGCTAACAACTGGGCCTCAAACTTTGATAGTGGGCGACTTTGCTGTTAAAAATGTAAACATGAACAGCAAAAATACCAGAACATGGTGTCTTCCAAAGGGTATGGTCTCATGAGTCACACGCAAGAGAGAATTCCAAATATTCCAGCTAAAAACTCAACTGTAAAAGACTTGATAGTGCACGTTGGGGCCAATGACATTGTGAAACAGCGATCAGAAGTTCTGAAGAAAGATTTACTGATCTACTGAACAGGCTTGACTCCTTGAAAACTGAGGTGCTAATCTAGCACCAGTCAGAAGAGGAGAAGGATTCAGCAGATTGATGGCACTGAACACATGGCTCTCAACCGCATTCAACCTGCAGAAAGTGCACTTCTTCAAGCATTTTAATTTCTTCTGGGATAGCAGGTGTCTTTTTAGGGCAGATGATTTTTGCCTTAACAAGTCAGGAGCGAAACTGTTTATCTCAAACCTTTTGTGAGACCCTGCGTCATTCATCTCATCCCCCTGGCAAGGACAAGAAACAAGAGGAGCCAAAACATTACGAAGAGACAACACACTGTCAGAAATCATGAAAGAGAGTCACCTCAGGGCCCGCAAGAACTACATTTCGGTACCCCTCAGGAGGTAGTACTAAAATCAAGTATCAGGACTGCGTGGGGGGAGGGGGTAGTTACATGCAGAGCATTCGCCACTGGTGATTGGTTAAACGTCTGTATCTTCACATCTCAAGCATTAGCATTGCAAGCACCATGTGTAAACACATAGCTGACTGTGAGTGTGAGAGTGGAGCAGCCCCTCCCTAACCAAACAGAAATCTTTAGGAAGCAGTCAACTGGTAGAACCTCACTCCAGGACTAACTTTAGCCACTTTCAAATCTAAACTGACAACTCTGCTGTTTTCCTGTGCCATTGATTGACTGGTTTCTATGCCGTGCTTTTTGTTTCATCTGTTGCATTCAGGGCAACTGCTAGATAAGTGTGTCTCAAACCTTTTCCTTTCTCTGTTTGTTTTATGTATTTTATCTCATTTTAACAGTGTTTTATCTTCATTTTGTCTTAACTGATTTTTTTTCTGGTTTTATGTTTTTAAAGCCGTCACTTTTTTTGCCTGTGTAAATCACTTTGACTTGCCTCTGTGTGTGAAATGTGCTATATAAATAAAGCTGCGTTGCTTTGCCAATAAAAAAGATAGCACAGCAAGAAAAAGTTTGGAGGCAGGGAAGGTTGAGCCGTTTGGGCCCCTTTGTGTCTGCCTTTGTTTTGACAGAGCCACTGTGTGCTCATGCATTGAGTTTGTAATAGGTCCCTGTCAACCTAGGTTATGGAATTCATGTATCAAGGAGAAACTGACCCTCATACTTCACTTAATAAAGCACGCACAAATGGAGACAGGCAGACGGGCAAACACATGGAGCGTACAGTACACAAACATCAAAGGATCGATCAGCTTGTACCACCTCTGTTACTGTGTTTGTATGTTTGAGTTTTATCCATGCTGATATTGTTAACACTTATACTGTGCATATAAGGGGGGCTGTTGTTTGAGGAAATCTTTCGCACAGTTTTTATTATACTATACTTTTGTCTGTCGTCATCTCGTTTGCTCTTATCTGCTCTTCTGTGCCATTACACAGTCTCTCTCTATATATAGTATGTCTTCGTATCCTGTCTATTATCTCTCATACGCAGCACTGAGTACACACTTTTGCTGTCTGGAATATCAGAAGGGATGCCAGCCCTGTACGATGCCTTGATCCATGGTGGTTCAAAAAGCCACTTTGTGGACTGACTGAATGGTTTAGATGGTGAGTGTAATTCAACCCTGCTGTTGACATGGCTTCGTATTATGTCATAACGCTAGAAGTTACTGGTAGCAGACTTTCATGCAAGGCATGCATACATCAGAGGAGTAACAGATGAGAGACTGCAGGGCAGCAGGGTTGTTTGTCAGTAGATTCTAGAATACGGTTTTACTCAGGTGAAGTATAATGAAGCAGGATGCAGCATTCTTTCTGGCGAAACGGGTTAATCTTCTGCACGAGAAGCTTTGTGTCTGGTCTATCTGACAATGGTGGCAAGTGAGAAAAGTGTGTATGGCTTTTTTAAACCAGCTAATTGAAAACCTATTGCATCTCCTTTATTACTTAGTGAGAGTAAAACCTTCAGATTAGGTTGTGCAGACGAAATAGTGTTTAGAGCACAGTGTTCAACAAACACCCTGGAAGTAAAGAATGAATACCCAGAATGCATCTTAACCACAAGCAGGACTCTTGATCTTTTTTTTTATTGTAATTAATATGGTGAAGGGTAGTAAAAGGCTAAAACATTGACAAGTTCAGTGAGACATTATTTATACTTTCCTGTTGAGAAATTTTATTTTTATTATTTTGTTTCTTAATTTGAGTAACTAAAGATGAGAACAGTTTAGAGGAGACATCTGCCTTACTGCATTACAGCCCTCCTTATGCCTGCACTTCTATCACACAGAAATGTGTAAACAGGTTTGCTTTTCACTTGTATTGGATACAAACCATTACACTTTTAATATCAGTAGGTTTGAGATTATGACAATCAAGCTTTTAGAACCTGACAAATAAAATGCAGCATTTCATCAAACACAGTAGATTATGTATTTTATGAAGCAAGTTATATAGAAGCTCATACATGTCTGTATAAACTGTGTTGAACTGTACATACCGTATGTGCCCGAGGCTGATATGTGAGTTCATACCTTGTGTATGTTAAAGGGTCAGTATTCTATAAATGGCCAGGGGGGTTAGTTTGATGTGATATGTATGATTTCTGTGGTTGCTTGTGTAATAATCCATTTAGGGGTCTAGGCATTTTACCAGTGTTTCATCAGGGAGTGTCAGAATGAAGAGAACTTCAAACTAAAAATCTACATGTGAAACAGTGTACTTAGTTACATGTTTGTTTATTTTTGTGTGTGTTTGACTTTATTTAGTCCTTGAGAAGTCAGATTGCGGTGGGCTTCACAGATCCTTAAATAAACCCAGTAACAGATGTCTAGGCCTGGGGATGTTTTTCCTTCCTCCAAGGGGTTAGGTAGTTGATGTATGTGTGTGTGCGTGCATGCACCTGGTATTTCTCGCACTGTGTGGATCAAAATCTGTTTACACACTCGTATAGTGAGGACTCGGCCTTCCAGGGTGACAACAGGTTAGGATTATGGTTACAGTAAGTAGCAGTTGTTAAAGTACGTCCTGAAGAGGGATAGGGTAAGATAGGAGTAGGGTGTGTGTATGTGTGAATACATTCATGAGACACAAATACTAGAGACTAAGAAGCTGCCCATACTGGAATCTGATCTCTTCCTATATTTTGTGTGTGCATGCATGGTGGTATTCACATTTTGGGGACTGAAACCTATTCACATAATCAAATTGTGGGGACTCGACCTTCCCCATGTATATCATGGAATTTTTTGGGTGATGACTTGGTTTGGGGTAAGGGTAGGGTTAGGTTAAGCTAAAGCTTGCAGCTGATGGATATCGGATCTTATTCTCTCTTGTGGGTGTCGGTGTGGCCAGCTGTGCATACTTTACCACTTTAGACACAGGTTGCCACACCAGAATTTAAGAGATGACATGAGCACAAGAAGGTTCACACATAGTAGAGAAACTCGGCAGACTATTATTTGGTTGTGGACCTTGTCTCCTGTTCACTGGCTTTTAATGGCTTTGTTTTAACGCTCTAACACATGTACAAGCCATCCTGTGGTTTTGTAAATTGAAATCAGCCTTCATGTAGATTGTCCACTATTAAAGTATTTCCATGTTGATTTAGTATGTACATATTGCGCCGGTACTGAGGCTTAAAAGAGATTTTTTTCTATTACTGTTTTCATTAAAACATATTTATTTTGAATATTGAAATTCTTTAATAAAGAATTCATCCGGAAAATAAGGATTTCTACAAGGATCAGCTGGCTTGTGTTTCATGAAGAGTCATCACGGAGTCACTCCACTTTGTTCTTGGATAATAAAGTTGCTGGAGAAGAAAGGACTTCAAGATTATTACTGTTGTTTATCATTTTGAGTATGAATAGTAACTACAGTATGAGTAATATATGTTAAACTCAACATCATCAGGTGAGTTCTTGGGTGACGTGGCTGGTCCTGACAGCAGGGTCCATGGAGGAGAAGAGAGATGTTTTCTCCTATCTGGTTCACGTCGCTAAATGCTGTTGGAACATGGGAAACTACAACGGTGTTATGGAGTTCCTGGCTGGACTCAGGTATTGAGGAGCACACGAACTCTCAAATGTGGTCACATAATCATCCTGTGCTCACAAATCTACACCTGACTGAGGTTTTCTTTGGCCCCCCAGGTCACGAAAGGTCCTGAAGATGTGGCAGTTTATGGACCAGTCAGACATTGAGACTATGAGAAGCTTAAAGGATGCTATGGCTCAGCACGAGTCTTCTGCTGAGTACAAGAAGGTTGTCACCAGAGCTCTCAATATCCCAGGATACAAGGTAGGTTTCTGTTTAATGCAGAATCGTGAATGTAATGGTCTAGTTTTCCATGTGGGTCAGTCCCTAATTTCCTTAAGAAATTTGTCTTAAGAAATTTAGTTCACATTTCTTTGTTTCCACATCTGACCACAAGAAACATGACACAACAATAGCAGTTTTAATGGCATGTGTTTTTGTGTGTGCTGTCTGTACACCAGGTGGTGCCGTTCTGTGGGGTTTTTCTGAAGGAGCTGAGTGACGCTTTAGACGGGACAGCAAGTATCATCAGCCTCAAACCACCTCCAGACAACACAGAGGACTCTATAGAGGTATAGGAAACATCCATCAACATGCACAAATACACATATCTCATATAACTGACCCAGTTCAGTTCATTTCAATTCAGTTTTATTTCTGTAGTGTCAAATCACAACAACAAATTTTCGCGAGGCACTTTACATATTATGATCAAGACCTTAAAGTATTATAAAGAAAATCCCAACAAGCTAACAACTCTTGAGTAAGCACTTGGTGACAGTAGGGAGGAAAAGCTCCCTTTAATGGAAGAAAGCTCCCGTTCTTGGTGGGAGGCTATCTGCATTGACGGGTTGGGGTGAGTGGATAGACTGTAGTGTCAAATCACAACAACAAATTTTCGCGAGGCACTTTACATATTATGATCAAGACCTTAAAGTATTATAAAGAAAATCCCAACAAGCTAACAACTCTTGAGTAAGCACTTGGTGACAGTAGGGAGGAAAAGCTCCCTTTAATGGAAGAAAGCTCCCGTTCTTGGTGGGAGGCTATCTGCATTGACGGGTTGGGGTGAGTGGATAGAGGAGAGAGAAAAGAAGTATCAAGAAATGACAAATAAATAAACACCGGGAGAGTTAATGTGGCCCATGAGCACAAATTATGGGAGAGAGGAGACACAAAGTTAATAACATGCACTGGTGGCCTATGAATACATGGAGAGAGGAGCTCAGTGCATCATGGCAGGACCCCCAGCCTAGGACTATAACTGAGTAACTAACTATCCTAGAATGCACATCCAGTGATTTCATAGACACTTTTACATGGGCACAAACAGAGGCCATCCTGTTGACTCAAACCCACTGGTATGGTTAATTACACTCAATAGCAACAGCACAGCCTAGGCACCCAGTTTGTTAGCATTTGCTAAGATGATTGTCACTGTTAAGATGTTCACCTACACTGGTTATTATGGTGCCATGGTTTAAAAGGAAAGTTTTAAGCCTTATCTTAAAGGCACTGAAACTGGGACCTGGGATCTGTCTTGCATTCTACCATTGTAAACACCTGGAGCCACAAGGAGACCTGCACTCTGAGAGAGAAGTGTTCTGTTGAAATAGTACAGCCCTTTAGGTCTCGAGGAATAATTTTCAGTTCTTTTGTTGATGATGTTGTTGTTTTTTTTTTTAATATGCATAGCCCAAAATTTAGAAAAGAAGATGACAAATTCACGGGGGGCTGAGGCTGCCTTCTATTGTAGTGCACACTAGCTGACAAAAAATAAAATAAAAACAAAGGTTCAACTACAGTCTCAGTCATCTGATGGACCTCTCAACTAAGGAGCAGCCCTGCAGATCATGTTATTATAATTCCTCTTGCTTTGTTTTGCTTGTCCTCCTCGCTCTAGTTTGTGTCCGACTACTACGGCCAGCACAACTTCATGTCTCGGTCTGGTCCAGATGGCCTACACGTCCCAGAAAAAGAAGCCACTGTCAGCAATATCCTCCAGATTATCAGGTGCACTGGATCCTTGAAATGTTTTCAAAGAGTAAAGACTGTGGGCTGACGGTGTTTGACACAAGAGTTTTATATGTTTGTCCATGCTTTACTTTATTATCTGTCTGCTTCACTTCCCACTGTTTGTCCTGTTTTTCTACTTACCTCTTATTTCAACATTTCAATTGTCTTGCACTTGACTCCTCTCTGGATCTCCTCTTTCTGTTCCACAGATCTTGTAATCGTAGTTTAGAGGTAGAGGATCCCGATGAGGCGTCCACCGCTCCCTTTCCTACTGGTATCTCCCCTGCATCCAGAAGCAACTCTTTCAGAGACCGCTGCTGCAACCAGTCAGTGCCTGCTTTGTTCTCTCTATTTTTGCATGACACTTAAGCTTTTATTAGATTTTGTTTAGCCCATAGACAACATTCCTTCTTTGTGGTGCATCGGATAAATTGCAACTCTGGAGCTCATAAAAATTTCTCTTGTTTTAAGAATACCTTAGAAGGGTGAATGTTTTCTGTCACAGGGCTTTGAACCCATCTGAGGCACGATCTCTGTATTTTTACAGCATCTGGGAGTTGTTGTGCAAGTAGGGACTAAACCTTTAAGAACTACAGTACAGTATCAAATGGCATGTAGCATATGACCCAGTCCATCAGGACACTGGGACACTGTACAGCAGTTGAATGCATACTGCAACTGTTCTCACTGTTTGTTTTTTGGTCTTTAACTGTAATTATTCACTCTGACTTCTTGTCTTAAAGTAGAATGACAGAAATAGTTTTTTCCTCTTAGTGTGACATGTAGAACAAATTCATCACTTTGTCACCTTACCAAATACTTCAGAAAAATAAAGAAAATGGTCTAGTATAGTCAGATTTATGTCCCAGCTACCGACTACCATGCTCTGACTCATTGTCATGGCTCATCCCCTGCTTCTGTGTACATCCTTCACGGCATCATTACTTTGTAAACACAGAGTAAGCAGTTTGTGAAAAGACATCTGTGGACAAGCCAGTACAGTGATTTCTTCATTTCTGTGGCTGTTGAAGAAACACTTTTGGGATTATATGATATAGATGTAGTAGTTTTCTTTATTAGGAATACAGTATGTACTTGAGTCACAATGCAGCTGTGTTTCACAAATACCTACACAAGATACCGCATTGTGAAAGATCATATTTACAGATTTGTATTGAGATGAGGTGATGTTCACATAAACCCTTTTGTCACAAAGAAAAAAGATAACCGGTTACTTTCCTGCCTGTGCAGGAAGGAGCGGTGCTCTGGTACTTCTCAGCACACTGGTGGGAGGTAGTTAGCTAGAAGATAGCTGGACACGAACATACAATGTTGCGAGAAAAATGATTTAATTTCAAGTTTGGGTTATGGTGTTTGTATTAAAGAAACCTGGATTATCTTGTTTCTGCTTGTAGATAGTTTTCTTTGACTCTGAGTTATTATTTCATGTTAGTGGTCAGGATAACCTCGCTTCATTTTGGCTATCTGTATAGTGTTCATCCGGACTGCAAAGCAGATAAATATCATTTTTGTACTCGGAGGTTTAAGATTTCTTTTCCTCTGTTCCTGTTATTTTTCCCAGTGTCAAAACATCCTTTTTTTTTTTTATTCTTCTTACCCCTCCTCCTCTTTTGTCTCCTTCTTCTGTTCTAGTTCCTATTCATTTAGGACACCACCAGAATCAAACCGTGTCTTGTAAGTGGTTAAGATGGTTTCAGGAGTTTGAACTCACACAGACATGCTTACAGTTGCAGTATGAGTAGAAGCTTGTTTAGTAGCTGAGGATTGTGGAATGATAAATGCATGATGATTGTTTGTTTTTTGCTTGTTCAACCGATGCACTACAGTACAGAGTACATTGTTGTGCTGTTTACTGCACTGTAGATGCAGGTTATTTCTTACCTTAGACTGGACTTTGGTGCATTCTATAAATGACAGCAACACTTTACTTTGCTTGCTGTAGTAGTTGAAATTAAATGTAGAAATGGGTGCATTTTAGCAGATTTCCATGGAAAATAAAACTGTGAAATTCAGATATTAAATATTGTTTTCCCAACTTGTTTCCCAACCCTACACTGCATCTGTGGTCTTCGAACCCACCTTCTATCCATCTTCAGATTCATGGTCGGCGACTTGTCAGATTCAGATGGCGACTTGTCTTCTGAGCCAGTGGTGAAAGAGGTGGAGTTTCAGGGGACCGAGGAGACACACAGAGCTTTCAGCCACGGCACTGAGCTAATTCCCTGGTAAAGAACAAACACACACACACACACACACGCTTGCAAAGAATATACAGCTGGCTCATCAGACAGTCCGCACTCTTTGAATTTTCTTTTTCCAGGTACGTGTTGTCACTACAACCGGACATTCACCAGTTTCTGCTGCAGGGGGCTACAGTCATCCACTATGACCAGGACAGCCACCTCACAGCTCGCTGTCTTCTGCGGCTACAGCCTGACAACACAACACTCACCTGGGGTAAATTATGACAGAGTGTCATTAAAACCATCTCATTAAAATTTAAAAGACATGGTTTTCTCCTCAGCTGTTTTTATGCAGAAAAACACTTGTAATAAATTTTACTACAGAGTTATGTAATCATTTTTTGCCTGTTATCAGGATAGTTTAAATATGATGATTATATTTCTATCCCAGAGAGAAAAGCCCAAGTTCCTCCTCCATATCAATCTTTGAACAAATGGAAAATGGGCTTCTGTTACAGGATATAAAAAATTTTACTCATCAACCATGGTCAATGTCCTGTGCCACTATTATGTTTTAAACATCGTGTAAATGTGTTTATTCAAGTTAGGTAAGCACCATATCTTTGGTAACACACCACTGAGATTGCTTGTAAATGTGTGCAAAGATACACATTTAGTATACATCTTAAACGTATAAATGTATTGATTTATGACCAGGTAAGCCACAGTACAGAGGGGCTTTCTCTCTGGAGCAACCGCTGGGATTAGGACAGACTGTGGTGGCAGGACTAGCAGAAGGCCTGTTGGACCTGGGAGTGGTGAAGGTTTGTTGAGAATAGCAATATTGTTTTGGTATCTAGGCTGCAAAAGTCCTAAGTCTTTTATGATATTAATTCCAGAAAAGTGAGATGCAGTATTACAAATATAGTCACTTACTGCTCAAGAGTCAAATGTGCATTGCAAGAATATTCATATAACTGTATAGTGGATTAGGTTACACTCATAATTGTTTTTAAATGAATGTGCAGGCAGTGTTCCTGGGTCACCAGGGAGTGGACATCCATGCCGTGTGTTTGCAGAACAAGCTGAGCCAGATGACAGTGGAGGAGAATGGTCTCAGCCTCCTTTATGGTCTCAGTACAACTGACAACAGGTTTGTGCCCTTTTTCATCAGCTTGCTTTGAAATCCAGTTTTTGAGCACCACTACACAGGTAAAACAATGTTTACTAAATGTTTTAACTAATCACCTAACTGCTGCCAATAGGCTCCTACACTTTGTGGCCCCCAACCACACTGCACAAACGCTCTATAAGGGCCTGTCGGAGCTGGTGAATGCAACCAGAAAGTTGAAGAAGTTTCCTGACCAAAGGTTGCAGTGGCTGAGGAGGCAGTATGTCAGCTTGTATCAGGTAAACGCTGAACTTTTCTGCATGCATGCCTAAATTTCCATCTATGTGTGAATCTATGCATGGATGTAAAATGGTCCCCAAAGGTCTAAGCTGTTACATAGCTTAGTGTATATATAGAGTATTATAGGTGTATTTTCACAAGAACAATTTTTTTCTAAATGTGCATTTCTATGCAGTGGCCACCAAAATGTATCTTTTTCAGCTGTATTACATTTTTTTTTAAATAAAATGTGGCTTTTTTCTTCAATGCTGATGTGAAAGCCACAGTGTTCACACATGTCCCCAAGACATTTTCAAATCAAGGTAGTGTTCCTCATCTTAGGCAATTTATCCTGTTCATTTTGTTTGAGAATAGAGCTTCAAATTCCCCAAGAAACTGAATAAAATTGAGGATCATTTGAATGAAATAATGGCATTAGTACTGTACATGATTTTAAATGACTTTTCTAAGGTTGTAAAATATATTCAGCACACAAAGGGCAGTATGGAAGCTTTGATTAAAAGGTAAAAGAAGGATTTTGCATACATACCTTAAATTAGAAGTTAAATAGCCCACAGCTAAACCTCGTCTTTCTTATCCAGTGTGTCTGCTTTCCCTCCTGCTCATCTAGTCCTGTGTGTGTGTTTGTCTCTGTTAGGAGGATGGTAGGTACGAAGGCCCCACACTAGCTCAGGCCATTGAGCTCTTTGGTGGACGCAGGTGGAACATGGGTACAGGTGGAGTGGAGAAAGCTGGCACCCAGAAAAACAGCCCTCTGAGCATCAATGAAAAGGCCAAGAAGAAAAAGAAAGCCCTTGTCAGGGTCAGTATATAAAAAAAAGTTTAGTTTCTATGTCTACCATTGTGCATTTCGCAGTACATTTAGCTGAGGCTTTTCAAATATGAGTAAATAAAATTTTGCCTAAACTTTTGAGCTTTCACTTACAGGATACCTTTAGCCAGTCAGCTTCATTGTTTTCTTTACATTGTAATGCTTAGCAATAGACTGGAATTCCATCATTATACCACTGGTTTGGCATGTTGATAGTCCTTACAAGATTCCTTGTTTTATACAGCTCCTAGAATAGAGATGATTAGAAATTCAGTGCGCTACACATATGAAAGGCCTCTGGTCCATTACAGAGCTGTCCGTGTTCCTTGTTACACCTGCCAGCTCACACAAATGTACAGTAGGTTTTTATACAAAATAGATGCATGTTTATATACCCAAAACAGGGAGACAGTGGGGATGCCACGGATGATGAAATGGTTTCTAGGAAAACACGCAGCTGTAAGGAGGGACTGTCTCGAAACGGGCCAGAGTCTGACAGCATCGACCAAGATGATCCAGGTGACATTTCATTGAGCTATTAAGTTCATAGAAGGAATTAAAACGTCTGTACAGTAGATGTTTGCCAAGTGAGGATGCACACAGATTATTACATCCATGATTAATGTGGAGGTTGCAAGGGGAGGTGAATTTGTTGGGGTTACTGTGGGAACTCTAGCAAAGATATTTTTATAAAGAGAAAAGCAAAGTCCTATTTTTAAAGAGTACAAGAGACAGAATTTCCCATGGCACTGTATTACAGTATTACTGTCTGATTTTTATTTACTCTTAATGTTGTTTGTCGCCATAGAGGACAGCTTCCCTGGACCATTCTCCCTTTCATCTAATAAGAGCCCGGGACTGTTGGCCTCTTCTTCCTCCTCGTCTTCTTCCTCCAGCATGGCAGGTTCCGTCCAGTCTCGCCCACAGTCCTCTCCAATCCTTTCAGGAACTGCCAATTCACAGCCAGGGTATGCACTATATACAAAGACTTGAGGTTCGAATGTTGTGAAATTTCCTTTTTCATATCAAGTTGAGATATTTTTCTTTGTGGGCTCCAGGGCTTGGAGCAGCAGGTCGTGGCATGGTCGAGGTAAAGGCTGTTTCAGAGGCTTCCAGAATCTCATGATTTCTGACAGCACAATGAGCTTCATTGAGTTTGTTGAGCTCTTCAAATCATTCAGGTAGATACTAATAAAAATAATCTACCAGAGCTTGTTTTTTTTTTGTTTTTTTTTTTGATAGTTTTGGTGTCTAGCAGCAGCAGAGTAATACAGGTACACTCTTCATAGAGCATAGCTTCACATGCAGGCTTTGTTTTGGTTTGGATCTGTTGATTTTTTTTTTTTTTTTTTGGTCTTTATTTTATTTTGATTAAAAGACAGTGTAAAGGAGAATAACTGACAAGACGAGAACATTTTGAACCACAGTTCAAGAATAGAAAACAAGAAAAACCCAACCCACCATTTTCTTCTGTAACAACTCACATTAAACTCTCTCCCCATTGGTTATATCTAACCATCTGAAGCATGGATGTATATGTACAGCATATTGTACAAATTCTGTCCAGCTTTTTGCCATCTTACTCCCTCTACTCATCTAGAGTAATTGTGGTGTTCTGATCAACAGCAGCTAAAACAGTATGATAAAACCAATTCAATAAATGCTTCTGTTTTATCATGTCTAGGACATTTCCCAAGGATTCTTTTCTTTATAATGTTTAGCTTCTATAATAGTTTTCTCTGTCAAATGAAAGGAAACTGTGTTTTGTCTTTATAAGCAAGAGATTATTCTCATACCATTCTTCCTACATTTCTTAGATTGTAGTGCATCCTCTCATCTGCTGCCCAGCAGTTTCCTTTTAAATTCCACATTTACTGAGCTATAGCCATGCAGAGAAAACGGAAGTACTTCAGCAAATCCACCTGCATGAAATGTAAAGGCAAGAAAGTGCTCTGTCTGCAAAACTGCTGATCTGAGACAGTATTTCTTTATCTGTGTATTTTTGGAGTTGAAGTGCAATAATATTTTAAAGACAGTCCCAGTATTAGCAGCGCATCAGTGTAAGGTGGTCTAAATATCTGTGAATCATTTCCTCCGCAGTATCCGAAGCAGGAAGGACCTGAAGGAGCTGTTTGACATCTTTGCTGTCCCCTGCAGTCGTTCAGGGCAAGAGTCAGCTCCTCTGTACACCAACCTCAGAATAGATGACAAAGACACTGATCTACAACCAGACCTTGGTAAAGGAGCAGTTTTATTCACTTACTGTTAGCAGATAAAACTAAAACAGACATTAGATATTATTCCTCTGTTCCTTTGTCTCACTATCAGCAAATCTCTGCCTTTCCTCTTCAGACTTACTAACCCGTAACGGTTCTGATCTGGGCCTGTTTATTTGGACAAGGCAGCAGATGTCTGACAACCAGAAGCAGATCTCAGATGCCATCGCAGCAGCCAGCATTGTGACCAACGGAACAGGAGTGGAAAGCGCGTCACTAGGCGTGTTGGGATTGGCTATCCCACAGCTCAACGATTTCTTAGTGAACTGTCAGAGAGAGCATCTGAGCTACGATGAGGTTCTCAGCATTATACAGGTAGAGTCTGGAGCCTCCAGGCATAGTGGAGGAAGTAATGCAAGGATGACACCTGAAACAGATAGATGGTGGACAGGAAGCACACATATACTGTGGTTAGGAAAAGAGAGAACGATGCTATACATTTCTTCTGTCTTCAAATAATGAAAGGATAGAATACTAAAGAAAGGAACGAGACACAAGGAAGGATAAGAGACTGATCAATAATATTAATGAATTGTTTTTGTTCTTTCTCATGCAGAGATTTGAGCCCTCATTAGGCATGAGACAAATGGGTTGGATGTCATTTGAAGGCTTTGCGAGGTAAAGTAAAAATATGAATGTCACCCCCGCTACAAACAAGCTGTTATTAAGATAGCAAGCCTTAAAGAAACTTTTTTTTTTTTTTTACTGCATTATAGCGACTACACTGGCACAGCCCTTTTCAAGTCCAGCCACAAATTCTCTATTGGATTGAGGTCTGGGGTTTGACTCAGCCACTCCAGAAAACTCACCTTCTTGTCTTTAAACAATTTTGCATAGCTTTCACTGTATCCTCTTTGTCTTGCTGGAAAATAAATCTTCTCCCAAGCCGTAGTTCTCTTGCAGACTGAAAATGATTGTCCTCCCAAGAACTTCCTATATTTTGCTGCATTCATTTTACCCTCTACCTTTACAAGCCTTCCAGGGCCGGCTGCTGAGAGGCATCCCCACCACACGGTGCCGCCTCTGTTAGACATGTCAAACCAGTATTAACCCTGGCTTTGCCTCGGTCTTTGTCGCACTCTTTCTGTGCTACAGAACATGGCCTCTTTGGTCTAACAGCTCTGCTCGCATGCTGGGTCGTACCTCCACAGGGAAACCTCCATGAATGGCTTTGAATTGAGCCATACTGGTTTGAAGTCTTATAACTTTGGATCAGTGGTGGTGTGAAAGAAGTGTGGTGCAGGTTTTAACAACAGCGCCCACAGATTGCAAAAAATAAACAATCCCTGAAGATAGCAGAGTGGGGCAGGAGGGTTTAGTACAGCAGGGAGACAACACTTCTAGACAGTTTTTACTTGATTTATCCAAATTTGTGCAAAATCTTAGTTAATGCAGCTTTGAATCAGACTGATCTAACCATCCCTCTCTTATTACCAGATTCTTGATGGACAAGGAGAACTTTGCTTCTCGTGATGAGGAATCACAAGTGAACCTGCAGGAGATGCAGTACCCTCTGTCCTACTACTATATTGAGTCGTCTCATAACACTTACCTGACTGGGCACCAGCTCAAAGGAGAGTCCTCTGTTGAGCTTTACAGTCATGTAAGTCAGATAATTAAAATCTTGTTTTTTACTCAGTACTTTAAGGTTTATTTTTATCCATACTTAGTTCTAAATCTCCTGGCTACTTAGGTGCTGCTTCAAGGCTGTAGGAGCGTAGAGTTGGACTGCTGGGATGGAGATGATGGCATGCCAGTTATATACCACGGACACACACTCACCACTAAGATACCCTTCAAGGTTAGAAATGGATGTGAATAATGTTTTGTGTTGACAAAGTTGTCAGGCAGAAACTGTTGGTTCAGTAAACCAAACAAGTACAAATATGAATTTTTTCACCACGCCTCAGCTGACCTCAGTTCACAGCCAGTTACACTTGAGTGTTACATCCAAGTGCTTGCTGAGCACTGCAAGTATTTACAGAGACTGGGTTAGTGACAGCTGCCTATTTGTTGTCAATGGAAACCAAGTGCTGTCACTCAGTACAGCAGTGACAGCAAGGCTGGAGCCTGATGGCAGAGATTTTGAGCCAGGCTCAAAACTGTTAACATTTTTATCCATAGCACTGATTTTATGCCACTTTGTTAAGGTTTAGCATTTTTTTCTGGCGGCAGAGTAGCCACTTAGAATGAGAATATGTGATCAGTCTATCCAGGTAATGCCAATTTAGATTTTGTTTCGATGTTTTCGGAGATGTGATTGCTCCTTATCTGACCAAGCTAACTCTATTAATAGGCAGCTACATCTCGTTCAGAGCACAATAGTCTGCTGGTGAGGATGCACATTGGAGCTGCGTTTCTACTGTCGGAACCTAACCAGCGATACACCCTGCGCTTCCCTTTACTGTCAGCCGACATAACCTCATGGGTTGACGTGGACCATCCTACTATGCTTTTTCACTATTTTTTGCTGTGTTGGACTCTGTTCCGAGGAGAGAGGGACTGTACTCTCTCTCTCTCTCACACACACACACACACACACACACACACACACACACACACACATCTGAGCAGAGGACATGAAGGATCACTCCGTAGTGCTACAGTCAGCCAGGAACAGGGACTGTCAGAGCAGTTTATCAAACAGCTGTTGAACAAGCAGAACTCAAACTTGCAGGAATGTGACATCTTCACCGCTTTGCCCTCGGTCCGCTCACTGATGTCTCCGTTTTACCCCTAAACCAATGAGTGAATGTTTATCATGTCTGTTTTTCTTGAATAACTTTCAAACTAATAACGATATCATTGTCATTCCACATGCCAGCAGTAGGTTTTCATGGTCAAGCAATCATATTACCAGGGTCAAATTATCATGGGAATATTACTTTTACTGAATTGCCCTTTGGCCAAGGTTTGCACTATTTGAGTGCTGTCTAATATTTATATTATTTTATCAGTTGGATCTGTTCTATGTAAGGCCTGTTTAAGTAAATACCATTAGTGTTGGTTTTTATAAAGAACTCTGTTGTCATATATCTAACCTGGAGTGCCACTTCTAAGAATTAAATATCTGCCATGATCTTCCAGGATGTAGTGGAAGCAATTAACCGGGCTGCATTTGTCAACTCCGATATGCCGGTCATCCTGTCTATAGAGAATCACTGCTCAATTCCACAACAACGCAAGATGGCTGAAATCTTCAAGGTATGTTTTCCCTGTGTGGTTAATTCTTTTTCTGATGATATTGATATTTAGCCTAATTACTGATTGAGTAGTAACTGAGACACAGAGACTTTTGCCATTTGAGTGTAAGTAATTTCACAGATCAGACGGAGTACTACTACTCTGTAGTACTACCTTTTTCATGTGGGCTCTAAATCTGTAAAAGTAGAAATTCACTGGGAGACTGACTCCGTCTTTGTTTAAATCCTAGTTGAAGGGTGATTGATTTATGGTAGTAGAAATGCAACAGCTAAAAAAAAGATTGAGTTTGGATTTAGCTAAGCTTTTTAAGTAATATTGTATGATAGTAGAAATGCAACAGCTAAAAAAAGATTGAGTTTGAATTTAGCTAAGCTTTTTAAGTAATATTGTGCTTTCTATTCAGGGAATACAACATTCAATTGATCTAGGTTCTAGTCCAATCCCACTACTCCTCTTAACCACTGAGGGTAACAGGTGGGAATATTTTTCTCAGTAGCACCTGTAATAGCATATTTTGAGCAAAGGAAGAGCCTTAACTCTTCTGTTTTCCTTGATCAGATTTTCTCAGCTGTTCCGGGCATTTAAACTGGCAGACTTCCAAACAGAGGCTTGCTTTTTAGTCTTCAGGCTACAACTGTCCTTTCCCTTCTCTTTTTAAGTTGTATATGCAAGGCTGCACATTTCTGGGCACGACATGGAATATCACTGTGCTTTCATCTACGGAAAACTTCCCAGAATTTCATTCTCCCTGGAGACGGTCTTCTGAGTAGCTCGATAAAGAAAAGTCTTTCATATTCACACAGTTCTATGCCTCTGGGCAGCTTATGTCACCATGAGCTTGTTTATTTGTAATGTTGTTTTTAGTTGATAAAACCACTTTCATTTTCTCAAGTCCAGGATTCCACTGCCGCCTCTGAACCTCTCTTCCTCTCTCTTGACATTACAGTCTAATCAGTATGTCACATCTTTTATTGATGTCTATCATGTTTTAATATTTATTCATTAGACAGTGTTTGGGGAACGTCTTGTGACACGGTTCCTCTTTGAAAGTGACTTTAGTGATGACCCTCACCTGCCGTCGCCGCTGCAGCTGCAGGGAAGGATCCTCCTTAAGAACAAGAAGCTCAAAGCCCACCAGGCTCCAGTGGACATACTCAAACAGAAAGTAAGAAGAGAGAAAGGCATCCTGGATTCATACAGACACACACATATAATATATGGGCCTGTACATAATGTAGATCTATTAAAAGCCATCCTCAAGTTTTTTTCAGGTAGCGTTAGTACACTGAATATTAAGCTCTGCTTATTATTAGAGCACTGTTACATAATAAATATGAATGTACATCCCATCACACCATTTTCACTCAGTTTACCCAGTGAACATCATAGGCTTCACTATACCCAGTAGGTAATATAGATTTTCTGCAGATAAGTGTGTTGTGCGTTTAATGTGATGGGTAGACATACTTATGGTACAGGTATGTGTTTATTTACTCCTTTCTTTCCTTTTTACCTCTGTCACAGGCTCACCAGCTGGCCCACATGCAGGCCCAGGCTAGCATCGGGACGCCAGGGGTTGCTTCATCTAGCAACCATGCCAATGAGGAAGAGGAGGAGGAAGATGATGAGTACGACTATGACTATGAGTCTTTGTCAGATGGTAAGAAGAACTGCAACAGGATATCCCTGGAAAAAATTGAAAAAAGGCACAAAACTAACACAAAAAACTCAAATGAACTTAAATACATACAAGATGTATATGGCTCCTCAGGCTAATATACCACATTGGGATACAGGTAGATTCTAATGTTGTAACCCTTAGTTTGTGTTCACACCTTTACTCTGTCTCTCTTTGTTTTAACACTTAGGTTTCTCTTTATGTTGATGCTCTATTTCCACTCCCTTCATTTTCTATATTATCTTGCCTTTTTTCCCACTTAGCTGATGTCCTCACAGCCTCAAGGGCCTCGTATGGTCTAGAAGGTAAACGCACAGCTCTGATGCGCCTCTCAAAGTACCAGTGTTTTTCTCCAATTTTGTTTTGCAGTGGACCAGTGGGTGGTGGTCTTTCACCCATTCATCTTGTTCTTGTCAAAGTTAAAATAGTTCAAACTTAACATTATCTTATTTTGTATCCTGATATGGTTACTTAAAAGTACTTCTTTTATACATGGAATATGCGGTTGAGTTTTTATGGGAGAATATGATTCCTTGATGCAAATTTGCTTGCTGTATTTGTCTGCCACTGCAGAGTGACTACAGAGGAAACACTGGCATGTAGATGTGCATTAAGGATCTGCACCACTGCTGTAAACTCGTTGTCTTTGTGCGCATACTGCATTAGCTGCTACCTTTCTGTTTCTCTTGAGTGTACAAAGTCAGGTCCATGTTGTGCTTTACTGTAGCTACAGTGTCATGCATGGTAATCGGCCATTCAAATTTTAATCATTAGATATTGTATTATATCTGGGACCTAGTACCTAATATAATGCTAGTCACTCCATTTGATTGTAAACAATATTTTGGAAGTTGTTGTTTTACAGGGCTAAAGAAGTACTGTAAATGAATGTGCAAACACTGATGGCTTGAACTGATCACCTCTGCTGCAAGACAACCTCCCTCACCATGCACTACAGCTCATAAAACACAGTGTACAGTGATGTGGATATATATTTTTAGTAATAGATCATTTGTGTTGTGTTTTTGTGTTTGGCCTATTTGTTAGGTACTATGTTTTAGATGTTCTGCTTTAGGAGGCATTATTTCAAGACTCTGCTATATAAATGCAGTGATTTGACAGAACTGAATGTCCTTAAAAGATATGTAATTCTCAGTGACATCAAAAACATTTTATTTGTTTCGGTCAGTGTTTTAACAATGTCTGCAATGTCTGTTTCTCCCACAAACACATCACCTCCCTTCCTCTAACCCTCCATACTGTATTTTTTGTGACCTCGCTAGTGGCTGGGCAGACTCATCAGACAAACAAAACAAAGCCATCTGGTTTCTCAGGCCCTGTGCTGCCCCTGCACTAAACAACAAACCAGGGGAAACTACTGTACCATGTTCCAGTTCCAGTCCCAGCACTGCTCTTTCCTAATCCCTGGCCTCTACTTGTCCCTGTTGGAAGAACTTACCGGTCATAGACCTTTCAAAAACATTTCTCTAATCTAAACCTCATAGTATAGGTCTATGTTGCTACTTAGCCCTTTTGGAAACCCACTTTTTAGTGTCTACCTAACAGTCAACTGTCAAGACATCCTGACTAAATGCTCTACCCTCATCTGTCTCCATTTTACATACATGCTTGGCACTCCACTCAACATTAGTTGGCCCAGAAACTACAAACACTTGAGTGCAAAGCTGCCCCGCTGCCACCACCCCCTCATTTAAGAGTAGCTCTTTTCTGTCACAGAGATTCCAAATGTCAAGAATGAAACTATTTTATGTGATAAAAAATCTTCTGCATTTCCAGATGATGTCCGTTTTTTATGGTTTTGGCTGTGGTTAATGTGCAGGGGGAACAGGAGCCAAAGGAAGAAGTCCTTACTGTTTACAGTTGTTAGACATTGCCTGGAATATGAGTAAGGAGGGGCTTTTGTGGGCTTTTGCTTGGGAACATGCACATGAGCTCTGCAAGTAGTCAGGGTTATGATAGATAACTGCTGTTGGTTTTTCCTTTGTATTTATTATTTAAATGTTTCCACCTGCCCATTTGGAATGGGTGAGATGCAGACTAGGTAGAATTACAAAATAAAATTCCTGTTAAAACAGTTAATCTCTGAATGGAAAAAAAACAAAACAATGTAGAGTTTGACAATTATTCTTCTGTGAAAATTAGATACCCACAAACACACACTGCTATGGTTCAATGCTGAAGCTAATGCAGAAGCACCTTTACTTTACAATACTCAAATGACTACAGTACAGTTGTATCCCTAAGCAACGGCGCAAGTTCACATACATGTTAAAATATTGATGTGAAGTCCAGGTATCAGCAGTTTTTTTGCATTTTTTTGTGTAGATAACCTTCTAGATGACAAGCCAGAAGGGAAGAGCTCGGCAGACAAAGAAGAACAACCTGTTGATGAAATACCGAAGAGGCTCAAGAAGGCTGACAGCACTATGCAGAGCAAAGGAAAGGTAGGGAACCGCAGTAATGAGCTGGCCTAATTGCTGCAGTTGTGTTACATCAGCAGGTCAGCCTCTGCTTCAGGTAGTACATCACTGTCTCTTCAAGTTAAATGTTAACAGAGCTTTCCGTGTCTCGTGTCTACCTGCACCTGTAGGTGTTTGACATGGAGCTGGGCGAGGAGTTCTACCTTCCTCAGAACAAAAAGGAGACTCGACAGATTGCCCAGGAGCTGTCTGACCTTGTCATCTACTGCCAGGCTGTGAAGTTCCCTGGTAGAGATTTTATTTTATCATTTTATTTCTTTGTCACACAGTTCTTTCTCATCTTATTTCAACAGACATTTCTGTTAGTGTTCTGTTCTGTAAGCTCCTTCTCTTCATGTATTCTTCCTATTATACTTTTGACAGGCTATAATTTTTATTATCTCCTCTCTTCTGTCTTGTCCCACTCTAATCCACTTCCATTCTCTATTTGAGGTCAAATCTTTTCCCACGTTTGACTTTTTTTTTTCCTCATTGTATGACGTTTAATATTCCAGTGAATACACGCTGTTCCTCTCCCGCACAGGACACCCACTAAGACGAATCACTTTCTTTTTGTGGGCAAGACAGTTACTTTATTGTGTTCTGTCCCAACAGCACAACAACAGTAGAGTTCTTTTACATTGATCAGAAAGAAATATGTTCTACTGTACATTCTAGTGGCTCAGTAGATTGACACTGACCATGTAAATGCTATATATGTGGACAAGGAAAATGAGTTTTCTTAAAATCTGGGTTAAAGATACTGAATAAATGAAAATACTTTTTGTGGAAAAATTGCTTTAAGCAGCTCAGGATGTTTGAATTTGCCTTCTGTACCCTTATAAAACCTCTCTTATTTCTTCTTAATTGGGATTACCTTGATTCCATGCTACCACTTATCTCAGGCTAAATATCCTCTCTTTCCTCCCTCAAGTGTCCACTTCTCTGCTTGTCAACTGCTCTTGTAAATCCTACTGTGTTACCACTGGTATTTTATTTGTTTTCTATTTCCAGCAGTTTGAGAAAGAGTAGCCAGGGCAACTGGCTTAGGTCAGACAGCGGACTGGTTGCTGCTGTGTGCTGTCTGGAGTAATTTGAGTAGGCACCACACTCACCATTAACAAAATGCACGGCACATTTTTCATCTCAAACATTTATTTGGAAAGGAGAGTGATTTGATACCAAAAACAACATAACTTGAGATTAGCAGTATTTATGCTACATGCTGTGTTTTGGATTGACATCTGATTCATTTAATGAAATTTGTTTTATTGCCATTAATGGGAAGCACCTACCTGCTGCTTTTTCCAGGAAAGGTCTCATGGACCGCTTCACCAAAAAAGGCTTATTTTTAAAGTCAGGGACATATTTTCCCAACTGTTCTGCAAATAATACAAAATTTAAAGCCAGTGCTGTTAGCTCTAAACCTCTGTGCTCATTAAAACAAATGCGCTTGGAGTGATGCCTGGGAGGCAGAGGAGCAGCTCCTTCTTCATTCTAGGCAGCTTTTAGAGAAAATGTGTTCTGCATTTCGAGAAAGGACAAGAAGGGAGGGAGATACCGATGTCATGATTGTGGCGTCTCCGGTCTGTCTGTGTTGCATTATAAACCACTCTGTGCTGTCTTCCTCTTGTGTGTGGGAACCCAGGCTTGTCCACAATGTCTCCAACCGGCTCTAACAGAGGGAAGGACCGGGGAAAGAGCAGGAAGTCCTTGTTTGGCACAGCTCCCACTCGCTGCACCCCAACAGGAGAGGTCACGACCCAGAGTCGCACCCCTGGGAAAGGTAGGCAGGGCCAAAGGACAGTGATTATTAATATTTGTATGAAGAAAAGGAAGTGTTATCAGTTTTTTTTTTCATTTTCTGTGTTTCAGAGGTAATTTAAAAATGTAAATATGGCTGAGGAAGAGTGAGAGCATGTTTTAATACATGTGTAAACAGGAATAATAAAGCCAATACATGACTTCCACTTAACATTAAACATTCATCTACATAGATTAAAAGGTGAGTATTAAAATGGAGTAGATTTCAGCATCTACAGAGAAAAGATCAAGATAATTAGGGCTAACTCACCCAGCACACATCCGGTTCCCAAGAGGAAGAAGCACCAGAAGAGGTGGAAGTCTTCATTTACCTCAGCTGCATCACTGATGAGCAGCATGGCATGGACACAGATGTAACAGTAAGAATCAGGAAACATCTGTCAGGGCTTTCAGTGCCATCATCAAGTCAGTCCCACTCTACAGAGCAGAGACATGGAGGAAAAGCAAGAACATCCAGCTCTGCATTATCAACATCAATTTATGAGATTTGGCCAAATGCCAAATGTGCCTTGAGCAGAAGCTTCAAAACTGTTAAGGTCGGGGCTGGTTTAATATGCAGGGGGAGCTTGTTCCAGAGCTTGGAGGCTATGACTGAGAAGGCATCACCTAGCACTTACCTGAGAAACATTCTAGGGATTCACTGGCCCGACACCATCAGTAACAGCAACCTGTGGCAGAGAACCAACCAGTTTCCTGCTGTGAATGACTACATGAACAGATTGTGGAGATCAACTGGCCGCAAACGTTACAAGGCAGGCCCTGACCCGGAATCCAAAAGGGAAGAGAAGAGGAGGCAGGCCCAGAAACAGGTGACGAAGAGGCCTCATAAAGATGGGCTATACCTGGGGCCAGCTCAAGACGAAAGCCTAGGATTGTTGACTGGAAAGCCCTTGATGCTAAATTCTTTTCCCGTCCTAAAGCATGCCCAGGGCAGTTTTTACCTTTGTCAGAAAATATCTTGTCATGTAGGACCACATCACTGACGTATAAATACGTTTTCACAGCCTGTAAATGTCTCTTTCTGCTCTGCCTCTAGGTGGCTCTGAGCGGCTGAGCTGGGAGGAACAGCAGACATCGCCTGTCCTCAACCCACCCACCTCTCTCAGCGCCATCATCCGCACGCCCAAGTGCTATCACATCTCCTCCGTCAACGAGAACGCCGCCAAGCGTCTGTGCCGCCGCTACTCCCAGAAGCTGATCCAGCACACTGTGTGCCAGCTGCTCAGGATGTACCCAGCAGCCACCAGGATCGACTCAACCAACCCAAATCCTTTACTTTTTTGGCTGCACGGTATTCAGCTGGTGGCACTCAACTACCAGACTGATGGTGAGAGATTCTGTTGTCTCTTCTTATACACTTCTTAGGAATTTGGCAATCTTTGTTCATTAGGTTTCCTTGTTTAATCAAATGTCACTTTGTTCCGGCAGTGGAAGGAGAAATCATGACTGAACAATGTATTCTGTGTATTCTACTCAATCATTTTTATGTGTAATGCAAAAGAAAACTTCAAGGCCTCTCCTGCATCATAACTGAACCCTTTACATCTTTGCAGAGCCTTGAAATTGGCTGAAATGCTTTAATTTTAGTTGAGCCAAATGCAACATTTTTTTCCATTGAGGGGGAAAAAAAGCCAGACTCTGCTGATAATGTTCTTTTATCAGTTTTAAGTAGCTGTAGATTCCAAGGTGCTCTAACTGCTTGTTTTTCCTCTCCTTCCCTCTTCACTCAGTTCTTCTTACTTCTCTCTCCCACTGCCTGACTTTATTCTTTTTCTCGCTCTCTTTTTTCTTACTCTGCCTTCATTTGTTTCTCTTCTCATTTCTCATTTGTCTCCTCATCTCATCCAGAAGATCTCTGTTGTCTGTGTTCACTGTCTGAACTCTGACAGGGGATGTTACATTAAACGACCCAATCTTGACTCACTCCCTTTCTTGTCTTCTCGTCTTTTAGGTTCACTCCTCCCCTCACATTTCTCTGCTTCTCAAATCCTGATGTCAGTTTCACCCATTTGGAATCAAGTTAACAAAACATGATCAGCCAGTTCTGTATGAGAACAAACTTACATGCACTCAGACATACAAGATTTGTTTATAGGCCACTCTTTCATTCTTGTTGAACAACCAAAAACAAATAGCTCAAACAGGGAGAATCCCCCCAGTTAACAGTTCTCCACCTAGATGCTCTGTCTTTTATTACTTTCTTTGTTAATACATATGAGGTGGATTTTTGCTTTTGCTCTCAAATTGATCCTTTGTTCTCTTTTTCCCCAGACCTGCCCATGCAGTTGAACACAGCGCTGTTTGAGGCAAATGGTGGCTGTGGCTATGTTCTGAAGCCGGCTGTGCTCTGGGATCGTAGCTGTCCACTTTATCAGCAGTTCTGTCCGATGGAGAGGGATGTGGAGAAAATGAGCCCTGCTGTTTATTCCTTTACTGTGAGTTAAGATGACATCCTCTGACTTCATCCCTACACTTTCATCTTTACTCCTTTTGATCCACACTTTAGCTTCCTACCTGATAGAATATTTTAGTGTATTGCAAACAGATTAAAAATGTTCTAAATTGTTTAAATTATATTTATATATCCTTCACCTACATACCTGTAATGATTAGGCAGACATTGACTGGACACACACTCCTAAAAACTCATATTAGGTCCATTAAGGTATGCTTTGACAGTTTTATTGTAAAGTGATCTGTTAAGTTGACATTCATGAAGGCCACCCGGTTAATGCCATATACCAGTGAATGAGAACAGAACCTCATAAAAGCTTTGCAATGCAATGTCCACACTGTCTGAAAACCCTGCTTTGTTTCCAGTGGCTTCTCATTTTCCTGTCAACCTTTTTCACAATGAACGATGAAATCCTGAACAATCCATCCTTTTTCTCCGTCACTTATCCTGTAGAGGGTTACGGGGGGCTGGAGCAAATCCCAGCTGACATTAGTAGATAGATGGGGTACACCCTGGATCTGGTAAAACAAGCATAAACAGAGGGATGACCTCACACTCATAAAACCTGTGTTTGTGTGTGTGTGTGTGAGAGAGAGAGTCTTTGTCTACAGGTCAGAGTGACTTCAGCCTTCAGGTCTGTTTAGGTTTTCATCAAAGGAACCGATAAACAGCTCAACTTAACTCCACGTGTTCTTCATAAACATTGTGATTGTTGTTACTAGTGAATCATATCACATCTCTTCTCTTCTTCTCCTTCAGGTTGTCTCTGGTCAGAACGTTTGTCCGGGTAACAGCACTGGCAGTCCGTGCATTGAGGTGGATGTTCTGGGCCTGCCCATCGACAGCTGCCACTTCCGTACCAAACCCATCCACCGCAACACCCTCAATCCCATGTGGAACGAGCACTTTCAGTTCAACGTGCACTTTGAAGATTTGTGCTTCCTGCGTGTCGCTGTGGTGGAGAACAATAGTTCCCAGATTACTGCTCAGAGAACTCTGCCTCTGAAGGCCCTCAAACAAGGTTGGAGTCTGAGACACTATGGACAAAATCTGGAGTTAGGATGAATAAAACTGATTCTGAATTGATGCTGTAGATGGGAATTTTATAAACCATGGTATTTAACAGCAACTGTTAATATGGGAAAACCAGCTGGAAATCAATTACAATGTGCCGGTATGTGTTAGAAATTAATGATGAATATTGTAAAAATAGATTAGATTCAACTTTGTCATTACACATGTACAAGGCAACAAAATACAGTTTAGCATCTAACCAGAAGCGCAGAGTGCACAGTATGTACAGTATGTTTTCATTGCTAAGCTCCGTTAACCAATAGCAGAAATGTTCTAAAGTCGTTAACCAGTTGTGTATGTGAGAGTTCTAAATGTGTGTCTGTCGCACAACAGGATAGCTTGGTGGTTAACACCACTGACTTTGGTGTGGCAGGCTGGGGTTCGATTCTTTGTCAGGGCACAGTATCAGGGTGGGCCCTTAGTAGGGAGATTGGTGTCTTGCATCAAACCAAGCACCCCCTCTTTCATTGCTAAGCTGCATTAACCATTTGCAGAAACCAATAAAAGTGTGAAATGTGTGCTTATCATGCAGATGGATAGATGGATAGCTTGGTGGGTAACATCACTGACTTTGTTGTGGCAAGATGGGGTTCAATTCTCTGTCACTGTGTGATTAATGTTCACACTGGGCCCTTATCAGGGAGATGCCTTAAATCTATCCACTGGTGTGATAGGTACACATTTAGAACTTTTAATGGTTTCAGTTTCTCACATACATAACTGGTTAAAGACTTTAGAACATTTCTGCTATTGGTTAATGCAGCTTAGCAAGGAAAAGGGGGTGCTTGGTTTGATGCAAGGCATCTCCCTGCTAAGGGCCTTGCCTAGGGGCCCATGCTGGATATTGACCATGCCGTTCAGTTCCATAATTTTTAGCATTTGGAGGCGAACACCATTTAACACGACTTTGACTTTTCATTTTCTCCTATCTGTACAACAGAGGAACAGCACCCTGACCGGGAATCGAACCCCGACCTTTCATACCAAAGTCAGGGTGGTCTTGAGGTTAAAGAAACTACTACACCCAGTGTTTGGTTCATTAGATTATCAGCAAAAAATGTAAAAACACAAAGTCAAAAAGAATGAAACAAAATGAATAACTCTACTTATCTTAAGGCACTAATAACATCTAATCCTGTACATTCTCATAATAACAGTACTTAGTACTAGATTATGTGTAACCAACATATATTTGTTGATGTGCATGTGTTTCAGGTTACAGACATGTCCAGTTGAGGACACAGCATAATGAGTCACTTGAAGTGTCCAGCTTATTTATCTACAGCCGCAGAACAGAGGAAGGTCCCGCAGGGGGCGCTACTTCCTCATGCTTGGTAAGGCTTCCTCAACTCAGGTCCTGAGATTGAAGGGGTTGAGACTAGGCCTATTAACTGCACTTTTCAAACTTTAAAACCTTTAGAACAATGCAAACTTTGTAAACGTTTGAATATTGTAGTCTGAATCCATCATTATATTGACTTCTGCTCACTTTGGTTGCACTTTCTAAAGAGAAAGCAAGAGAGGCTGTCAAATAAAGCAGAAATGTCAGGATGTGTTTCATAACAAGCTGCTGCCTTACATCTCTCCTGCTGTCTATCCAGCTGTTTAGTTCAGAGGAGAAGCGTGCAGCACAGCAGCACAGCGTGACTGTGCATGGAGCTCCTGGCCCTGAGCCCTTCACGGTGTTCTGTGTTACGGAGCAGACAACTGCCAAACAGCTGCTGGACATGGTTAGCATCTTAAAAATAGATTTATATTGCTTGAAAAATGAGATTGCTGCCCATGCAGAAGAAAGTCCCACATGCATATTCATGAACAAATTAAAATAAAAACATGAATGTGTGAGCAGATATGTTGGCGCTCTCCACCATGATGGATTGAAGCTGTTTTGGTTCAACACCTTACTAAGACACTGTTTGTTTTTCCTTCATACACTATGCATATTTGTTTCTGTCTTAAAGTTTCTACTCTCATCTTCACACAGGTTGTAGCCTCGTCAGAGAACCCGTCCATGTACTTCCTGTGTGAGGAGAAGGCTCCTCTGTTGAAGGAGCGCAGTGAGGTGAAACGCTGTGCTCAGCAGCGATCTCTGGCACCAGAGGAGGAGGTTGTTAGACTCACTCACAGCTGGAACAATGAGGAGGGATACGTGGGGAGGCTCTGCCTCAGAACAAGAGAGGAGGTACACACACAGTATAAGTCATTTTATCAAATGCATTTGAGCTCATCTCTAACTACCACAGTAGGGTATATCCAACAAATCTTTGGGAATAAGAAAAATATTTATGGACTTCGCTGGTATAAACTGAGTTAAATTTTTTTCACATATCTGTTGAACTATTTAAAACAGTTTAATCTCAGTGTCTAATAATATTCCATTTTAACCAGATAACTTATTAAATGTATCAAACTCGCTACTACCACATGAAGTGCCCAATACCAGTGTGTATACTTTTGTGGCCTATAATGTAGGCTATGGCTCCCCCTTGTGGTCATCTCATACAAATAATAATGCATCTGTTGCTCAGAAACATTATTTTTACTGTGAGGTTTTAACCTTTCAGAATTTAAATGAGAAGAACTCTCTGCTGGAGGGAGAAGAGGAGGTGACTGTGGGAAGTAAAGAAGTAGCAGGAGGAGGCGGAGGCGGAGAGGATGATGTGTTCTTTGTCCAGGTCCATGAAGTTTCACCTGAACAGCCTCACACTGTGATCAAGGCTCCACGTTACAGCACTGCTCAGGACATTATACAGCAGGTGGGAGATTCAAGGAAGCATTCACTTCACCTCCATCATCTGTTAATTCAGTGTTATTGCTGAAAGTTTCTCTCCCTGTTCCTCTCTCAGACTTTGTCAAAGGCCAAGTATTCCTATAGCATCCTATCAAACCCTAATCCAAGTGACTACGTCCTGATGGAGGAGGTGTCTAAAGACGTAGGCTCTAAGAAATCGTCCGCTGCAAAGCCCCTGCAGCGGGTGCTGCTCGATCATGAGTGTGTATACCAAGCTCAGAGCCGTTGGCGGAGCGCCGGAAAGTTCATACTTAAACTGAAAGAGCAGGTAGCTCTGAACATGGCATCTTCTTTTCACTGCTAGTGACTTTTTTCTTTTTATGTGTATTAGATCAATCAGCTGAGTGTGTTTCTGTTTCTGCCCTTTTGTACATCCCTTTTTGTAATTTTATATGGCTGTGCTTTTATTGACTTAAAATTGAGCCACTAACCCTTGACTACGCCATACACTCACCGGCCACTTTGTTAGGTACACCTGTACCATTGTGAGCAATTCACTGCAACACATCTGTGTTTATGAAGCTCAAAATGTCTATTATATATTTGTTACTGAGGTGGTGTTGTACTGGACTACATTATATTCAGAGGTGTCTATATTTTTGTTCTCCCCAGCTACATACATGAAGGTCAGAATATTAGGAACACCTCTGAATACAATGTAGTCTAGTACACCACCACCTGTACCTATGGCCTCAATAATAAATATAGAATTCAATGTACACATTTATGATAATTTCACCAAAACCAGACATTCTGAGCTTCATAAACACAGATGTTAAAGAGGAAGTGTCACATTGAATTGTACAGGTGTACCTAACAAAGTGGCCTGTGAGTGTACGTCTACATAATCCCTGCATTTGGCATGTTCAAGCAATATGACCTGCAAAGTACAAAACAAACTGTTTCATCTTTGTGTTTGCAAGAACTGTTTCTCTAACATGCTGTTCATTCACATCCCCATAATTCATGCTGTTGTGTGCACGTCCTATGTAGATACTTTTTAAAGTTTGCCAAGTTTGTTTGTAATTGCTTTTGTTTGTGCTGTTGTTTTGTGATCTACACAGTGCAGTGTTACGTTTTGTCTGCATAATCTTGTATGTCTGCCAGTATTTATTTATTCATCATCCTTTCACACCCACAGCCTTTTCCACTGACACATTTGTAAATGACAACATGTTCAGGAATCTTTGCTAAATAAAGGTGAAGTATTTTTTTTATTTTGTGTGTTAGCATTTTTCTATATAACACAAAGGGTGGGGGAACAGAATGTGACAAAACCAAAAAGAGCACTGGAGTTTAATGCTTGAGAACAAAAAAATAAACAAGCTGTGTTTTAGGATTCTTCCTAAGACACATGTCTTACCTACTGTACAATATTGTACTTGCACATTTCAGTTTGTTCTCTTCATTTCAGTAACAGGAATCTGTTTCTGCTTCCAGGTGCCACGTGAGGACAAGAAGAAAGTCATTTCCTTTGCCAGCGAGCTCAAGAAGCTGACCAGCCGCAGCCGCAGCATGACGACCGGCAGCACAGCGGATAGTCCTACCCAGAGTAAGGATGATAAAGCTGCATGCTGTGTGGCTCTGACAGAGCTCCAGGAGTGAGGCTCACAACTCTGACTGCTGTCTGTGCATGGAAAGGCAACAGAGGTACCGTATGCTGTCACTAACACTTAACATTACAAAAGGAAAAGCTTTATGCAAACAGAACAATTCAAGGTACCAGTCAGTTTTTCTGAGACTCACCAACCTAAAATAGCTAATTAAATACACCATAAAGTTACGTGTAGAACTGGAGGTGGCACAATAAAGAAAAACAGTTGACTAGTTAACAAACACTCATCACAAGGTCCACTCTGGAGCTGTTCTATAGCTTTACATCACATCAGTGTTTCCCCCAGATTGTGAAGGTTCACTTTTCTTTTTCAGAATATTTTCTGAGCACCTTAATGTGTCTTATCTTAGAAGCTGAGTTCACCCTTGACTTAAAAATAATCTCATCATTTACTGCAGGTGCAATACAATCAAAAACCCCACAACAGTCACTAAATGGCCCCAGTGCTGAGATGTTTTTAACAAATCATGGAAAAGCACTTTGAGGTACATTAACTGTCATTACAGACTATAATATAAAAGAGGGTCATTTTAGACTAAATGACTAGCAGCACCATTTGTCAGCAATAAGACTAACTAATGCGATGCAGTGGCAGTGTTTGCAGTCTATTTTAAAGTCTGTTATCCTGACTTGTTTTTGTTGTTCTGCCCACCTCCAGATAACCTAAGATTTAATAACAGTTGGTCTCACTTTTGCAGTGAGACAGCTATTCATCATAGCTGTATTGTTATTAAGTGGTGTGTTCTCCACTTATAAACAAAAGGATATTAATAGAAAATCATGTGTCCTTTGCAGGGTATCTGTCTGCAGCTGCAGGTCTAAAAACATGGGTGGCAGAGGGCAGGGTGGGCGCAGGAAGGTTCCTACAAGCCTCTTCCTCCTCCTCAGTTGGGGGGCAACTGCAGCCTGTCCACCCACCCATCTCCTCTCTGACCCCCGTAGCCAGGAAGCTTCACCTCCTCAGGAACTGGAAGATCCACAAATGAAATCCAGAGAGAGTGAAACTTGTGCTGATTACTTCCTAAACTTGGAGGACTCCCCTTTCAAAGAGAGCCGAGGTGTTTCAGTCAGGGTCTGAGGCTTTGTGGAATTAGGGGATAAGCTCCTCATTAAGTCCTGAAGGAGTCTGATCTTGCCTGGTGTGAGTTGATCAATTAGAGAAGAGAATTCAGTCTGCTATCAGGTCAGATGACTTTGCTTGGCTGAATGAAGGACATGTGTTTGTGAGAAGAAATCCCACCCAGTGTCACTATTGAGTAGTGATTGCCGAGGGGGGGGGCAGACCTGGCTCTTCTTCTTCTTTGTAATAGTGTTGTTCCATAGAAACCTGCGAGCACCAGGGGCAGCTGTTGTTATTGAAACCACCAGAGGAGCAAAATAACGTCAAAGTATTTCTTCTGTTTCCAATGAATGGAAGGCATTTGTCAAAAATGGAGCACTTCCCTGTGTCACGCTATAAGGATGAAAAGGTATGGGCTTGGTTTTAGATGTGCCAGCTTTTATCTCCAAAAAATGCATCCAAAGATGAGCAGGAGGGCTGTGAAATGGTCTCTGGCTGGCAATTCTTCTAAGAGCTGATTCAAGGACAAATGAACTACGGCTCTACAAGAGATGAAATGTCCTGTCTACTACCACCACATGCTACGGTTTGCTATTAGATAAAGATGTAATGTATTTGATACAAAGCAAGTTCATAAACTACTCCGTTTTCCGGTATC